AGTTAGAAAGTAGGCATGTACTGATCTTGGAAAACTTTCTTGGCTCCAAAAGATGTCAGTTGAAACCTGAATTGATTTTTTTTCGAATGTTCTTCAAAAAGTGTTGGGAATCAGATGAGTCGCTCACAAACCAATGAATGACATGACAGTGGGACAGGTGGTGGGTGCAACTCTTGCTAAGTCGCAATTTAACTTTGCTATTCTCGCAGCACATTTCTGGTGTTTCGTTGTTGACTTACGTAAATCGCAATACCCACAAGCCTGACCCATTTTGCTGCTATTTACCCTGGGATGCAAACTGTAATCTTAGTTAACTTCATATTGAAAAGTAGCAAGATTCAAATCATCATGTACGTTCTGATGCACGTGGTCGGATAGCATGTAAACGTTTTTTTCTCTTTCAATTCTTACCGCTTCATTGCTCACTTGTCGTTCCTCGTCTTTTTGAGAAGCTCGAATTCTCTTATTTCTACGTGCTGCGCTGGTAGATATACTAAGTGACGAACGTTTGGTAGGCATATTTTTTGATGGTCATTAACGCGGCGCCACTTCAGCGGCAGGCCGGGCTCCCCATCTCGTCTGTTGCTTACTCGTTGACGTGTACTGGGCTGTCGTCGACTGTCGGTTCTCCCAGAGGCGAGCTAGTTGCCGGCCGCCGCCGGCGCTTCTCGCTTCTGCGCTCCTCCGTCGCCGGCAGCCCGTGTTCCCCTGAACGGATAAGGCGGGGAGGGGGGCTTTCAGTCACAGGCAGAATATACGGCGAAGACGCGCCTAAACCTTCAGGGTGCGGTGGATTGCGTAGGACTTTTGTTCAGGGGCGATTGAGTCTGCATGTAAACGCATCAACGCCTCCATTTTGCATGTATGTACGACAGACATAAGCACATTCCAATTGTACTATGCCTATGTGTTTCCTGTAAGTGAAAGTAATAAGTTGACTAAGTTTTATCGCAATCGAACCAATAAACGAACATTCATTGATGTTTATGTATTAGATCAGTTTTTTTCAAACTTCTTACTGCGGTCACTCCCTTCAGGTACCAAATTCTCGACACGCCTCCCGTCAACAAAATTAAATTGTTAATAACAACTAAATATTTTTTCTGAAAGTAAGGGTTTTTATTATATATGTTCAGTATACAAAATAATAACTGCAAATGATTTGCTCCATTTACTATTGTAATTACTGGAATTAATAATTACAGAAATAGAAATATCCTTTAGTGAATTAAAAAGAAACTGGGAGGCAGCGATTTGTTGGGATGAGTACACAGAGAACTTTTTACTCAACAATAGTTTATTGTTCAAAAGAAAACAGTATCCTGTCGTTGCTACTATTGAGTGAAAGGAGTCCAAGTGAAAATATCCAAAAAATATTTTAACATGGGAGGGGCCTCATCACGTAGCAATTTAGAATTAAACCACAGTAAATATAAATATTACATTATATTAAATAGGATTATTGAAGGCATGGACTGCCATGTGGGCCTAACTGCCATACTAAGGAAGGCTGAATTATGGAGTTCACTGGCCTCAGTTGAACAAATTTGTCAGGTTGGGATTCTCGGCTCCGCCTCTTTAAAAAAATGTAATATCAATAAAGCTCTCAGAAAGTAAGTTTGCATATGCCTACAGCAAACACGACAATCTGACAAGTAGCTCTTATTACCATAACTATGCACTTAAACATATAGAACCCATCGCACGTATTGATACATCAACAAAAGACCTCTGCTGTGTTACTACTCTGGCGTCATCTTGCCAACGCGAAGAGGGGCACACATTTGCAGAGGGGCACTCATTCACAAAATGAAGAAAACTGTTTGGAAAATTATAAAAACGAACATATTGATAGTTCAGAAAAGTTAGATAGATGGGCTTGTTTGGTGTCGCTCAGTTTATTAAATCGCGGCACTAATTTAGAAATGGCATTAGGCACCCTATTTTGGAGATTTATTCGTGATCTATATTTTGTCTTGTATACCGCCATGGTTGTTCATCCAAAGTTCTCATGCCTCCCCTCTGGAACTCTCACATCTTACGGTTTGAATAACACTGTATTATATTAAGCATGTTTATACAAACTTTAAATGTAAATCACAAAAGAAGTCAAGTCCTGTTCAGCGTTTTTATCCACATCAAGTTCATCTTCTGGTGGAGGGGCCATTCGTGCAGGTTCCCTGACAGTTGGCACAGACTGAGGAGAATCTTACATCGGTCCTACAATAGCCCACATCCAGTAACACATTTGCAAACTAGTGGTGGTGCAACAGTACATACTTTCTCGCATTTTTGCAAATGGCTGCGTAATATTGAAATATTCCAGTTTCTGCCCTTACACCTCAGCTAATACTGGAAAAAATCCAATTCCAACAAAGTGTTTTTGATACATAAATGCATACATTTCGATAGTCAGGAGCAGCAATTATTTCTTACTTTTACAAAGAAAACTAGCAAGAAAAACCTTGACTGTTACAGTATTTGTAGCAAATTATACAGAAGCGAGTAACTTACTGTTGCCAGCGCAGCGTTGTCAAAACTGCAATTCCACATATACGCTTGGCAAATATTTTCGTATCAATTCTTAGGGAAAATTCATATTTCCATCTGTATTCAGATTTCAACATGTTTATGGGTTAGTCATAGTGCATCATTAACATGTGATGTTGTAACTCTAATGCCAATAAACTAATTAAATTATTAATGTTCCACAAATTGTTATGTTAAGTAAATGTATTACCGCATTTTTACAAATTGACACTATCTCAAACGAAGCTCAGGCAAATAAAAGTGTATAATGTGATTCAGTGTTATTATTTAAAAAATATGAACTAGTGTCTGTGCCCAAACTCAATATAATAAACATTTAAAACAGTAAAATTAACCCTTTAAAGCCAGGAAACGGCAACGTGTTTATATAAAAATAGAAAAGCAATCGTACATTTTGGAAACTCTTGTTTAATTTTCAACTCAAAATATTAACCGCAAAAGCTAACCTAATTTTTATTTTTTTAAACAGATAATTGGTGTTTTACTTTATTGCTTTATACTCGTTGAAATTTTAAAAAAATATAATATGGAAGGTATTGCTGGTGAAATCCTGAAATGTTCATAGATAAGTGACCTTTGCTTCAGTGAAAATTTGTATGTTCTATACCTCGCAAATGCATTTTGAAAGTTCTTTGAGGTCTGGAAAAAACACTGGCATATATATATATATATATATATATATATATTATATATATATATATATATATATATATATAATATATATATATATAGTATATATATCAAGATAACCATTTTGAATAGAACAAATCATTAGTGATTAATTTTTAAAAAATTGAAAAAAACACACAAAAGATGTATTCTGCATATGAAGTCAGAGTTGATAGCGAAGGAAAGGCATTGAAATCCAAAGTCCTGCATTAAAGTGAGGCAAGATTTTCCTATTTAAGGGGAAAAAAAACAAATTATCTCCTTGCGAAAAAACTGCAATGCGTGGTCGGTTTGATTTAAGGGAATTGGGGCTCCATGTAATTCACTAAAATCATGGATCCCTTCTTGCTAACATTGTAGTTGTTGTTTTTGTTTCTCATTGCGTGTGCTGTTGTCCCCTCTTGTTGAATTTATCAAATTATAATATCTCTTTCATAAAGGCAAGATTAGCCTTGTCGTAAAACAAAACAAGAACTTTTCAAACTCTATAACTTTAAACTGTTAAATTTTAGAAACAAAACCTTTTTTTGTGTTTGGTTTTTGAACCAAAAATTTTTTTGCGTTCCTGAAATTTTATTTGTTCTCTTTTAACTTTGTATAGAATAGAATTTGGATTAGGACTTCAATTTGTGGAGATGCATTGCAAAAAAAAAATAAATGAAAAAGGCACCTCGCCTTCAAACATTATATGTACTGTGTAATACTGTAATTGTCCGCTGATAAAAAAGGGAGGGGTTCTACCTACAAAATCTCATATATGTAATATATATATAGTATGTATATATAATTATATTTTATATATTATATATATTTAATTATATATTGTATTATATTATATATTATATATGTATGTTATATATTAATATGTAGTATATTATGATATGTATAATATATTATATATATTATGTATGTATATATTATTATATATGTTGTTATTATATATATGTATTAATAAATATATGTATTATATATGTATATATATGTATGTATATTAGATATTATATGTATTATATATATATGTATGTAAATATAGTATATATATATTGTATAATATATGTAGTATATTATATGTATGTTATATATATATATGTATATATAATATTATATGTATGTATATATATTATATGTATGTATATATGTAGTATGTTATATATATATATATATAATGTTATTATATATTGTATGTATTATATATATATGTATGTATATAATATATAGTTTATAATATATAATGTATATATATAGTATGTTATATATATATATAATGTATGTATAATATGTTATGTGATATATATATATATATGTATGTTATATATAGTATTTGTTAAATATTATATGTATGTAAAATATATATATATGTATGTATTTATATATATATATGTATGTATTATATATATGTATGTTATTATTATTGTAATAATATATATATGTATGTTATAATATATATATATGTATAATATAGGTATTATGTATATGTATATATGTATATATATATATATGTATGTATATATATATATATGTATGTATGTATGTATTGCAATTTTTTGGCTAATAAGGAAAAAAATTGGTCAATTGAGATTCTGCATGGAGCAAGTTTTACTGTTTTTTTAAAGTTTAACTGATTACCATTAACTGATTTACCAGCTCAAGTATTAATGCTAGCGTAGTATAGTATGTAACTTAGTTCTGGGGGGAAAAACAACAAACCAACTCTAGTTAGATCTATAATGACTTTTCCATTCTTTCTAGGTTCCATACTTTTAATGGGTCTCGTGCATCAGAGACTGTTCCTCCAGGAGCGAATATTCCAGAAGAAGAGTTGTATGCTCGATCACCTGCAGACACGAGAACACCTCGAGGTTGGCTGGTAGACCTCGTAAACAGGTTTGTAGAAAATTTTATTCTATCTTATTACAGAGAAAAATTTCTGTGCCTTTTTTTTAATAGATCCTGAAATCCATATATTATATGGAAAACATACCTTTCTCTCCAACATACCTACTAGCAATTTTCTTAGTATACACCTATTAACAGATGACTTTGAGAAAAATTGTAAGAAAACAGAAATGATGGCAAAAAGTTTAAAGATGTCTGTCAAAATATGAGCTGCAGTCATTACAGGGTGGCTGATTACAGGAAAACAGGGAAACCAGGAAAATCCAGGAACATTGAAATGTGGAAATTATAGAAGCAAAGTTTACAGTAATGACGTATAACATGAAAAAATGTGCATTTGACTCGGCTGAAGCCTGGTGGATAGAAGGAATGTATTGATGTGATGCATTGAATGGTAGTAAGATTAATTGACAGTCATATAAAATGACTTGTGTAGTTATCAGCAAAATTATATCACATGTCTTAGTAAACAGAAGAGAAGCAATAATTACTGCTTTTGGGGAGGTTGTAATAAAAAAGTTATTATTTTTGCATAATTCATCTGATCGGTTTGCGCATTATTGACTGAAAGTTCATGAGATTGGAATTGATTGTGTAACAAGAAGTAGCATGAAAGATTCGTTTTGTAAAGTATTGTACATTCACAAACAATTTTTTTTAGGATTTTCTGAATACCATCTCTGGTCATATAGGTAGAGGGGGAAATCCAATTCAAGGTTTTTTCTTGGAATATTTCACAAAATTTAGTAACATGAAACTTCCTTTAAATTTTTAAAATCTTCTTTTTTTTCTGTTCTGAAAAATGGTAATAAGGTGTAATAACTGCTACTTGGTGAATGTGTTACATCATAAATTTCAGTTATCTCACTGAAACAATTTTTGAGTTATAACATGTTAAAAAACAAATCTTACCTAAAAATTATAAAAAACTTGTTTATAATTCTCATGAATTTAGTTTCAGATCTCTGGTTTGTAACAATGAGTTACATACTTAGTACTGTACTTTCTGTTCCAATACTAAAATGTATAGGTTAGAAGAAAGTTCACGCATCAATGTTGATGTCATATCTTAATAGGTGTACTTAAATTTTTGGGTGACATTGAACACTAATATTTCTGTAATTAAAATTAAAACTGGCAATATAAATAGCCATCACATGATATGCTTTGTGCCTAAGCATCAATACTCAAAGATATCTGGTGGTAATTCTGGGAATTATGTCACAATTCATTGTGGCCACTGACACAGTACCAAATGGTTAATTCTTGAAATTAATAGAGCCTTTCTTATCATACCTTACTTTCCTGGATAAACATCTGTACAGCAGAAAATAAATGTTGAAAAATTGAAAATGATTTAAAAGTTTAATTTTCATCAAGAGAAGAAAGAGAGAATAATTATTTTTCAATGCATTTAAAAAGACAGTTAATGTATCTGAAATGGCACTTGCACTAAAATACACAAAGAAGGCAAAATAAAACTTTGTCAAAATGTTTTATTTTTCATAATTCTTATAGATACCCTAAAAGTCTGTAAAAATGTTCATTAGATGTAATTGCTACGTTTCTTAGCATGCAATGTCTAGTAATAAGAGACCATTGTTTGCGTTTGTGTGTGTGTGTGTGTGTATAGACACACACACACCAAAATAAAAATGTGGCAATTAGATGAAACAAAAATATATCAAAATAAACAAAATACATGTCTTATTTCTTTGGGCAATTCTGTTTCTCCCCAAATCATTATATAACAAAAATGCTTGTAATATTCACAGGAAAATGTTCCAATATATGATTTACAAAGTTCTAATATTTAGTTGAAGCTAGTACTTAGCCTTGGCCAATCCGGGTAGCCGAGATTGCTAAGGCAGTAGTGTCTTGGCAATCTCAGATCAAAGGTTCGCGGGTTCAAATCCCGCCTCAGGCATGGATGTATATGTGTTCATCATTTCATCTCTCATAATCATCCTATCACTTCAGTAAAGAAGTATTAATAATTCTCTGCTTGACCAGGAGGCCCTTGCCCTTAATGGAGTGTGCATTTGTCTATTAAAAACAAAACAAAAAGAAAAGAAAAAAACCTTAGTCTTGCAACTTCACTGCATTGAATTAACCAGCACTGGCAAACTTCCCAACCAATTTTTTGCCACTCTTTCAAAACATTTTTTGTAAGCTATTTTTAACGAAATTGCATTTTCTTATTATGGCTTCCAATAAGGCCCTCATAGCATTTTAGTGCAGGCAATTGTCTTCTCCTTCCCCTTCTCCTTATTCTTCTCCTCTTTCTTTCCTCCTCCTCCTTTTTCTCCTCCTTCCCCTCCTCCTCCTTCCCCTTCTCCTCCTCCTTCTTCCCCTTCTCCTCCTCCTTCTTCCCCTTCTCCTCCTCCTTCTTCCTTGTCCTCCTTCCTCCTTTTTCTTCTTCTTCTTCTTCCTCTTTCCTCCTCCTTCTCCTTTTCTTCTTCTCTCCTCCTTTTTCTTCTCTTCTCTCCTCCTCCTCCTCCTTCTTCCTCCTTTTTCTTTCTTCTTATTTTCTTTTTCGTTTTGTGAGGCTAACAAACTATTTGCTACATTGTGTTGGGCCTGTTCCACTGTGGCTTCCATTCCTTTCTGTTGTCAACTTGCACAGTCCAGTTTCTTATTTTTCATATGTCTGTAGATCATTTCTGACGATTCTCTCCATCTGGTTCTTTCGTCTTTAACTGTAGTTACAATGGGTTCCATTGAGGACTTTCTTTACTACCTAATCATCATTCAGTTCTGTACACATTTCCCACCCTTTTTAATCTTTAAGATCTAATATGGTTAACAATATTTTTATGTTTTGATTAGGTTATCGCAATTTCGTATTATCTTTAGTTTCCATAAATTCCATTTTGCATTTTGTTAACTGGTATTAAAAATCGTCCTCCAAAATTGTCTTTCAAAAATTCATTACTGTTAAAATGTCAATCTTCTCTGAGGCTCTCGCTTCTCTTCTGCCAGATCGTCATTACTGCCCATTGTGTCTTTGCCCTTTACATATATCGTTTGACTTCATGAAAAATTGCGAATAGGTAAAGTAAGCGTTATTACCAGCTACTATTCTTTTTTTAATTCCTTCTTCAATGATATGATTGTCAAACATTATACCTGAACATTATACAGAACTAACTTCTTTGATAACGAAGATTAATCCATATCAAGAGGTTTGTTGAGCCAGACTGACATGTCGTCAATTTAGCTCTTTTGGCTAGTTTATTGATTAGTCCATACTGTAAAGACTGCTGTTTCAAAGTGCTTAGGAACATATTCTTCAAGGGCAGGGACTCTGGCAGATTCTGGTTATTAAAAGATTATCATCTGCATAATGCTATACATGTGTCAGATTTTTCATAATTACATCTTCATTATCATACTAAACAGAGGCCTGACAACTGGATCTCCCGTTTCACTCAGTTGTTCTTTCAGAATCGCCTTAGTTCATTGTTGACTTTACTTCCTTAAGTATAGATAATGTGAGCTATTATCAGTCTTCTTATTTTGTTTATTACATTAAAATATCTTAAGGCATTCATTGATTTTACTCCTGTGAACAGAATCAAAGGCATATGTGTCAATCAATAAACCATAGTGAATATGTTAATTTATGTTCAAAACATTTCTCAAAAATTAGTTTTATTATAAATAAATGTCTGTTTGATCCTTTTTCTTAAATCCTGCTTGAGGGTTCACTAATTTGTTTTTTCAACCATCTTTACAGAGTCTATTGTTTGAATAGACATTGAAGTTTTAGAAATACTTCAGATAATTCCTTGCAAAAACTTTAATGCACATTTAATAAGTTATCGGTCTGTTGTTACTAGCAATTTTGCTCCTGTCTCCCTTTTTAAATATGAGGCATATTATACCTGCTGCTCCACTGTTCATATTGCTTTACATTCACCATATGTTGCATTATTTTATTCAATTCTTTTTGTAAGTCTTCCTCCATCGCTTTAATATGTTCGCTAGATGTTGTCTGAACCTGCATGCCCTGTTGGGTTTAATTCATTATTATTATATTATTATTATTATTATTATTATATATTATTACTATTATTTATTATATTATTATTATGACTAGTTCATATAATGTTCGTGGCCACACTTCCTCGCAATTTCATACATCAGCAGGCAGTAGCGTATTTTTGTTTCATTCTCTACATTCAGGCACTGAAGTTCAGAATACCTTTCAAAAATATCTCTTCCATCTTTGCATGATTTGCGTTTCTGTTACTAGAACTTTTCCTTCTGCATCCGTTCATTGCATGTGGGTGATATTATTGGTTGCAGATTATATTTTTCGAATTCTTCAACAAGACTTCTCTAGTCTGTATCACGTTTCTTGTAACCTTTCCTATCAATGTTCCTCATTTTCTGATTTACTCACATTTTCTTTTTCCTTTTCCAAATTTTATTTGCTTTCTTTATTTTGAACTGGTAAAACTCGTAGCTAGCTCTTGTTTTAGTTTGCATTGCTTTATCTCGTCCTTATTCGTGTTGTGCATTGCACAGTCTACATTCTTCACCCACCAATCATTTTCTGGTCTTTTATTTTCACTTACGATTTTTCATTAGCAGCATCTGCTATTTTCTTTTAATATCTTCCCAATCTAATTTGATATACTATACACATCACCTTTTGTTTATGTTCTTTAGTGTCAGCTTGTATGGCTTCTTGCAGTTTTAAAAATGTCTTGCATATTACACTTATTCCATTCTTGTGTATTCTTATAGATTTCTTTGAGGTAGATCTGGTTAATTTCTGTTTAATATATAACTCCTAGTTAATAATGGATGGGTATCAATATTGAGTCCTCTTAGTGTCTGCACATCTCCACAACTCTTTTGTCTGACCTATTTATAAGACGTGGTCAGTTTAATTAGACATGTCGTTGGTCTGGTGCAGACCCAGTGCCTTATGTTTACTTTTGTGTTGAAATCTGCGAGCTAGCATCTTCAGAATGATT